ATAAATGAATAAATAAATGGATGAATAAGCGAGTGATAAATGTAAGAATTAAATGAATAAATAAATCAGAAAGTGTTAACGCACCATCGCATTTTGCTCAGCCTCTGCGACGGCATTCGAAATCGCCTCAGATGCCGTCATGAGGGCTTCGCGAACTCGATTCCCGAAACGTTGAACGATGTTTGCCAGAGCTGATTTTCTGCAAAACAACCGAAATTTCATTACGAAATTATTTCGGCTTCGAACATTTTTCAACGTGTCCAAATATCAGCGCGTCGAAATTGTTTTTGCTATTAACATAGAAAAAATTTGACGAATTCACACCAAAAAACAAAAGAACATCCCTAAAACATTCACATTTATCATCAATGACCACAAAATTCTCAGAATAAAATCTCGTTGAAACAAGGCAAATTCAGTCCTTCAGGTTCAGACTCCTAACGATCCCGCATGAGATCATGAACATGAGAAATGTGTCTTCGTATAAATGGCAATAGATGAAACCAGAACGTATATCATAGCGGCCAGCAGAACTGCAGGCGATTTCCGACTTATCGTCATTTAATAAATTACCACACAACAATTCATGGGAATCGCAGGTCATACGGATGAACTTCTTGAATCAATCGAAACCAAATTCATCGTTTCTCAACAATCATCACTACACAACACAAACTCAGTAAACTATCGAAACGAACGCGATCTTATAAAATCATTTTCACAAAAACGATTACAATTGTTTTTACAACAACTCATTTATTGCTTTTGTCTTATCTCGTTTATCGTAAACTCTTTATTATATTACCCATAAAAATGAATTGAAGATTAAATTCCGAGCACAAACAACGAGACAAACGGCGAATAAAATCGGCGTTAAAAGAACGTTCACGGTTTATGATATTGTTAAATATTCATTGAAAGATCAAATATCGGAATTTGACTGGTAATTAAACTAATTTACTGCATAAATGAAGGTATATGTAGATGAGTGGATGATGAGGAGTAAAGGGAATGATCCTAATTTAAACGAAGCACCACAAAACAAGAACAATTAACACGAGCAAGAAGACGAAACATGCTATTACAACACCAAAAACAACAACAACAACGACATCATTAAAGGATAATTGTTGATATTCAACTAGAAATAATAAGTAACTGAAATGAATTTATTTCATTATACAATAAACATATGTTATTATAAGAATAAAGTTGTACAGATCCATCCATCCATTCGACAATCCACTTAAGCATTACACTTGAAATGACGACGATAATGATGATGAAACGCATTGTTGCTGGTGTTGTT